CAGCCCTAATCACCCATATGCTTTTGCAAGATCTGAACTCTTGAGCTTAAACATGTAAAAATATTTTTTTAAAATGTATTATGACAAATTGCACATCATAAACCAAAGGAAAAAAAGAAAAAGAAAACAGAATAAATGTATATATGGTAATATTTCTGTGTTGTCACAACACCATAGTTGCATAAAAATAAGCAAAGGCATTAATCCAAGAAACAAGTTGGGGTTTTTATTACATTTTGTCATTGTAATTTTTCATTACATTTTCTCATCAAGCCTTCTCAAAGGTTTTAGACTTTAAGTACTAAATATAAACATGTAAGCAAATGAACCCCAGTGCTAGCAAAGGTGAAGAAGGTGTGGCTCATCCCATAAGTCCATATTCCATTAGAAACAGTAGTTTTATCTGAATTTGTTTTTCATTTAAATAATCTGGATTGACAACTATTTGTGGCAACACTGTTTTCACATGCTTCTTTAGACAAAAAAAGGTGGATAAAAAAGGTGCATTTTAGCAAAGCCACCTTCGAAATTTCTATACCTAAGAAAAAATAAGCACTGTATGCAATCTTTTTTCTCCTACCAAAACTGATGCAAATGTTGTCCTTGTGTTCATGCCCACAGTTTTTCCCAGAAGTTCAGATAAACTTTAATTGAATTTTTAGATTATTTTTTTACAAATAACAGATGGATATTTTAAGAAATGTTTTGTTGTTCATCTTCCAGAGGCTGCACAACTGTTTTATTGTTCTATCACTTAAGGAAGTGTTAAGGTAGTGTCTGAAGTAGACCTCAATTCTAACAGTGTACGCTCCCAGGAAAACTACCCATCCGTGCTGCCTTGATTCCAGCAATCGAGAAGCAGGACACGGGTATGGTGGGAGTTGGTACAATGGATTTGGAAGGTACTACATGTGCTACCTGGCCTACTTCTAGATCTATTTGTTTATGTTTGGAGAGCACTGCACAGGAATATTTTAAAACAGAAAATAGAGATTGTTTGTTTGAAACAAGCAACTTCCTGACAGATCTGCTTTATTTCAGAGAAATAAAAGCACAACTGCTATTATTTTAATACTTTGTGGGATTCTTGTAATAGTTGAATAATTTATTTTGTATTATTTACAGTTACTTAGAGCTTCCAATTAATGTTCTGCAATATTCTGGGATTTCAATTCTGCAACTCCTTTTTAGTCCCTTAGATCCTGAGACTTCATGTGCTTTACCACTTCAGAATCACTGGATTTTATCAAACTAAGTGACAGAATTACAGTTAATTTTGTGCTATTTTTAAATGTAGAAGATCTCTCTGAATCATAAACTGATATTGGGCCTGTGCACTAAGAGTGCTGTACAACAAAACATAACATCACAGAAAGAACTGTAGACCCAAAAAAACCACATTTTATTCTACATTTCGTAACCCACCAACACTCTTTAAGTTCATACTACTTAATATGGAGCATCTCGGCGTACTGCCCTTGTAGACTCCTGATATGATCAACACAAAAGGGCAGAGAAGCACAGACCTCCAAGTGGTGATTTAGTTGCCTTCAGATCTGTAGACAGACATCCTCTGAGATGTCTGTCTCTACTTTTTGATAATAAAGGGAACTGGAGCACTAGAGATGCCTTTTTTTCTCTAACATTATGTGGGATTAATCCTTTTTTGTTTAGTTGTTTTTTTTCTATAACACAGTATTCCAAACCTGAAGGTCTTGATTTGTCTTGTTTGGACTAGATCATTGTCTGGATGTGTTTTCATTCCTACAAGCAACTTATTCATACTGTTTCCTCCAGATGAGAATTTTGACTGTGTAATTGACATTGAGGCTGCAGTACTGGCATAATACATTTATTCTGTAAAGGAGTGTGCGGAAACATCCTAATTTTCTGATGCTGAAAGCACTGAAGAGTAAAAAATGTTAAGATTACCCTCAGTGAGCTTCAGTGAAGACACAAGCAAAGTTTGTGCAGGCTTCTTAGTCTTTGGTATGAAAAAAAAATGCCCATCTCAAACAGTTTGTAGCCACCTTTTTCACAAGGTAATCATTCTACACTGGTGATGTATGACTAACACCCATTTAAAAACCAAAATAAGTCTTAATAGATGATTCACTGTGTCACAGAAATAGTCATTCACTGTTATTTGTCTTCTGGTACAGTTTACAGAAATAATTAGTATTTCGTTTGACAAACAAGTGCAAACATCCATTAGCTAAATGAGACAACATATACTTCGACTAGGTCTGTAATTTTCACTAGAATTCTATCAATAGTAACTGCTGAACAGTGTCATATAGGAGTACACATCTTTTAGTATAATTTTTCCACTTAGGAGACCACTGAGGTTTTTAAAGAAGAAAAAGTATTGGATAGTCTAACCTGTCCTTGAAACCAGAAGAAAAGAGAAAAAAAATTCCTTGTATGTAATCTGTAAACTACAAATACATAGAGTTGGTCTTATGAATTTATTGATCTGCAAATGAGTTCTACCTCCAGATCCATACACGATTATTATTTCGAACAGAACCCTGTGGTGTAAATTTATATTGACTTTAGAAGTGCTGACAAGCCAATGCTGCTCTTGAAGCAGAAGGTAAAAGTAAGCCCGTCAGCCGGGAAACAAGAAGAGCTGTACCGTTACAATTTAATCCATCCAGTGCCTGAAAATCATTATCTCATTAACCTTAAAAGTCGGCAGTTATCAGCCATGGCAAAAGCACACTATGAGCATGTCCCCATGGTACTGAAGGTACTTTAAGGGGAAAGTGCTCTGAAACAGTACTCAAGCTACTAATCTAGGCTTATTAATTTTCATTACTGAAGCTATGGTACTTTGTGGACCAGGGCAGTATCTCTAAATGTAACCAAAACACGGCTATGAAAACAGACTGGAGCTAGCTCAACATTTTTTTGTGGTGTGCTCCATTACACGTATGGATAAGTCTGCTCCTGGTTCTTATATGTGTTTGCACAGAACACACTTGGTTACTGCTTGCTGTTGCAGAAAACGTGAAAGATCAGCCTGGTGAAAGCCAACCTTAAGCGGACACATTGCAGAAATGCACTTTGCTCCTCTTTCAGCATGAAGAAACTCATGTAACCTCTAAATGGTGTCTCTCAAAATGAAATGCTGTCTCAATTCACCATAGATGTAACATAATCAAGACACGAAGCTAATTTATTTTGACTGTTTATAGAGAATTTTTTAGATTTTTAAAAAATATACTCTGTAATATAAAATCATACATAGAAGGGTAAAAAAGTTTAAAAATACCACTATGTCTGTTCATGTAAGCAATAGTAACAATTGCCTAAACAGAACTCCAGTCTTAGGTGAGCTGCAGATGCTTGAACAACTATTCTTAGTCGTTCCAGAAGTGCTTCATTTCCTTAGTTATTGCATTACTGGGTGTTTTCATCCTATTTAGCTTATTCTGTGGTCTAGCAGGGTCAATGCTAGGTCAGTATATAATGATCTGTAATGAGCTTATATCTGCGGCTGTTGAGACCAGGCATAATTACTATAGGTGAGCTTGCCATTTTCTGCATGTTTAACTGGCAGTTATCAAAATGCCTGGTGGTGAGCATGATGTTCGGTTTAGCTGCAGCTTCTATATCTTATTCAACCAGGGATCACCAGTGAGTTCTTAGGAAACACGCTTGTTATTATCTTACTTCAGTGAGAACTGGATAGTATTTTGTTCAGCAGTTCACTAAAATATTGAAGTAAGTTAGCAAAAAAGGTGAAGGTGTATTTACTTAAGAGTGCTCTGTATTTTAAAAAATTAAAAACCAAAATTAGAGACAACTAAAAATGTCCAAGTGCTACAATGACAGAATTTTATGCATTTTGGTTCAAATATTGTAGTCCTTATTCATATAAAATTCCCTCTTAAAGGGCCAGAATATTCAACAGGAAATTTAATAGCACAAAAATTCATTACTGTTTAGAACTGGCAGCATTTGTCATTATACAGCTGTGTGGACATAAGACAAAGGGTACAACTGGACCATTCATTTATCTACTGGCTAGAACAAATTCCTCTTCTTGAATAAAGGATAGAAAGGGACAAGACTGGAAAAGGCCATGTGCTATTTTACACTGTTATTACCAAAAGGGTTAGGCAGCACATAACAGTGGCTATCAGAAAAACAAGCTAGAGAAATAAACTAAGAGAAAATTAAATCACTGTCTCCAAAATAATAGACCAAACTTTAACAGTGTGCTGACACAAAGGCACCCTGTCTGGCAAAATAAATACAGGCGATTTAGCCTTTCCACACAGAATCATCTTCTCTGTTCACTGCTCCCTTGTACACCACCTGGTAACACACACATTCTTCCTCTCACAAACTTCATTAACCACATATGTTTATATTTAATGCCCTCAACAGGATTTTCTTCATGCTTCCCAAGCCCTTGTAAATTTAAGTTTTCAATGTCTTGCAATAAAAAGTTCTGCAGAGTAACACATTTTTGTTTGAACCTACCATCCACTGCTTTCTGTAACCTAGGTTATTAACAGCTGTCCCCTGTACTCTTTATTGGGAACCTGACTTGGTCATCAGAGTGCTAAGGCTGAGATCTTGCATATTTCTCTCTGTCTGTCCCACCAGTCAGAGGAAGGTGACTTTAGTATAGGTACTCTTCAAATTTGTGACTTTTCCGCTAAGATTGCCCTCTTAGTACATATGTCAATTTTCCCCCACTCCTTTCTCCTGTCTTTTTGCATCAACTGTATGTATATAATCTGCATCATCATCATCATCACTTCATTAGAGTGAGAATGATTCCCTTTCCCATGCATGCACATTCTGTTTCCAAACCCAGTGTATCAGGACCACAGTAGTACCACATGTTAGTTAACACTTTCAGTGCAAGAATATTACTCTTTCTGTTTGAATGCATGATTTCCACAATGCCTGTCTTATCACTATGTAGTAAAGGAAGAAAAGCCAATAAATATAACAAGAACAAAAGGGTTTTGGCCACTTACCAAGTGAAGATAAGACATAGTAAGGTAGATATTAAAATGAGGACTTGGTTAAACATTGCAGACTGTGTGCGTTGGATGGCTCTGTGAAGATCATTCTATATTAATGGAAAATGGGTGTTATTTTTGGTTTTGAATTAATAAGGCATGAGCTGATTCTGTCGAGGAATTATACAGTGCCCTGATAAAATGAAGTCATTCAAATGCACTTAGAATTTGCTGATCATGTAGAAGGGTGCAAAAGAACTAACTGTGATTCTGTGATTATTTAACTAGTTCTTTGTTCATCCCGGCACAAATCTGATGCTATTGCAAGCCGCCTTAAGGTCTGTCTGCTTACGTCTAGCTTCCACATTACAGGCTGAAAGAACCAATTAAGGCACAGCAGTTGAGTTCCCTGCAATTGTGTATGAACTACTCATTCCCTTATTGGCACAGTAACAATTTATACTAATGGAGGTTTCACTTGATGTCTTATTTTTTTCTGATTTTGATGAAGAAAGAAGTTTAGCAATGCTTGATATTTGTATAATCTAAATATAGATTTGGTTAGCTTCCTATTAAAGCTGGACAGTGGACTGTACTGACAAAATCCCACTAAAGACAATATGTTAAAAAAATAGAAACTCTAAAATGTTATTCCCGTTGTCATACTTACAATCATATTCTCTAAGGCATGCTTTGCCAGCCAACAATTTAAAAATACAGGAATAAACAGGTTTCTTAGGACTGGCCAGAAAATCTGAAAGAAAAATTAACAAATTCATTACAAGTTTTTCTATTCAAGAATAGTGCTTTTCTATTCAAACAGCAGTGAAACACCCAGGAAAAATACTTATTAATATGTTTCTAGTGTTGGGATATGGCTTTAAATAACATTTTTTCTTCTTTTGTGATCAACTTTATGTAAGACAATTTGATAAAAGAAGGATAGTCAGTTTTCAGTGCGCACACCAGAAATTCTTACATTTTTATATCTAGCTGGTTTATTTGATTATTGTGCTGTAGTTTGAGTTAGAGGGGTTTGATTTTGTTTGTCCCCTATTGGGGAAGAAGGGGAAAAGTGATCTGTATTATTACTTCATTCAAGTAGCAAACTATCTTCTTGTTGTTGACAAATTTCTGTTCCCACAGGCAGAAGATTCAGAATTTATTTAAATAAAAATAAAGAGTAGTTGTGCAGGTACAAAAGTGCTATGTGGAACTGTATTAATTCAAATATGTTTACCGTGATGATGAACGGGACAGCATTAATTATTTCCAGAAGAAACGGTATTCTCAGAATTTGTTCCCAGATATTTCCCTTCAAAGAAAAGAAAAATGACCATGTCACAGCAGGCTTACATATAGTTCTGATGAGAAACATACATGATATTCCCATGCTACTTACGGAGTCTCTCCCACTAGCTGAATTTCAGGAAGATCATTCATCTCAGATTTAAACACATATATCAAATGTGAGTACAGAATATAGGCCACTCTGGCCTGTTTTTCTTACTGTTTATCATAATGTACCTCACATGTAAAAATATATACTTTTAAATCTATATTTTTACTAGAGCAGTTCTCTGTTTCCATAGGACCATGTATTTCCTTGCTATGACCTAGTTAGTTAGAAGCTCAAACGAAGAATTCTAATTGCATTAACTAGTCAACTCATTCTCTCAGTTAATGAAGATCTTGATTAAATTAAGTTTTCATTTTTTTTCAGAGAATAATATGCTCCTGTTTTCTTTTACTACATTTTTAGGTACCTTGGAATCATGCACAGACATCTTGTTTCTGCTTTTTCATTCTTCAAAGGTTAGTTTACTTTTATTTTTACATACACACTTACACACAGATAAGGAGGTGAAGTTCCTGTCCTAAGGAATATATCTTTTTAATAATTCTCATTTTTCAGTGATTCTTCATACAAGTAACAGACTACCCTGCTGGCAAATTCTTTTATCTGCAACTATTTCTATTTCTTTTTTTTAAAAGCCTCTAAATCTTTAAAATCCTGCATTACAATGTTTTAGCTTTTGACTAAAATGTGCCAAAGTTTTCCTTACCTTAATGCTTATTATCTTAGAGTGTCTAAAAACTAGAGACGAAGCCCTGGTACAGCATACGAGTTGCAGAGACATAGATCCAAAGGACGGACATACCCTGCTCTGAAGATTTTACCATCAAATCAACTGCTTTCATTACCCCTATGCACAGGTGCCTGCCCTGTAGTCCGCAGTAACGTTTGTTATGAGTTATGAGCCACTTTCTGTACATCCTTCTGAATGAGCTTCATGGCAAAATACAAAGCAAAAGAGGATTGCAAATATGTTGTATTTTCCAAGGAAAAAAATTCTCTTAATCTTCTTTCATTAGCCTCTGTATGTTAGTCACAGAGGTCTGAATAGTTCTCTTTATTATTTCTAATCCTGCTATTAAGATATTGACTTATTATGAAAAAAGTACTATAGTGAGTCCTTCCTTCTTTTTAATTTCCTTTTATCTTTATTTTGTATTTTCTCTTTCTCAACTGTTTTGGAGAGAGAAGTAAGGAAGACAATCTAGTGTTTAATGTTCGAATTAGGACTACAAGATCAAAATTCTGTATTTCTGCCACAAACCCTTCAGTACATTTCAGGGCTTTTTGGAACTTGATCTTGCTTACATGCGATTAGAGGTGTTCCCTAATTAAGGAATTAAATGAAAGTGGTACTGATCTTTTCATCTGCTTATTGCTAGCTACAGGATGAGGATACTACTACTACTTTTCCACATCTTAGCAGTCACTGTGAATGATTAAATGCTGGAATGAAAATCCATACATTTAAAAAAGGAGGCACTTAAAATTCAGTGACTTATAGCTTTACTAACTCTCTGTACCAAGACTCCATCCCAGGTAATGCAGTAACAATGTAGCATGCATTGTGGCAATATTACAAGAATTTGCAGTACAGCATTAGATTTTCAGTTGCAGTAACATATTAATCTTTCCTGTCAAAATAACCATCTGATATAACCACTGAAAATTAAACACAAGCTCCACAGCATACAAAATTATTTTTCTATTTTTAACTTTTCACATCTGGAAGCCACTGTAACTATGGGGCAGGGATTATTGTCCTCCATGTAATTGTAACTGGTGGGAGTTGGACATACTTGAATAATCTTAAATATTTCATTTGATAAGCAGCCCTGTAAACAGAAGTGAAAGTAAAATGAAAGTTTAATTAAAGGAAAACTGTAAAGTGAGATTTTATTTGTAGGAATAATAAAAATCAAAAGAAAATTTTATTTTCCCAACTGACCCATTCTATGTTTTCACTGATTTCCTCATGTTTTAATGTTAAGAACTTTCTTTTCTTCATTATGGAAAAGAAATGTCACATAGTTTACTTGTGCAGGCAAAATGCCTGTGCAGATGTGCTCCAGGTACTTAGTGATGCGTGCAGCTGTAAGATTCGGGCTTCCGTATACAAACGCATCATTTCTTCAAAGCTGCCTTTTGTAGTGAGAACGTATGGTCCTGATTAAAAGCAGCTGAGACTGCCCGCACACCAGTGATAGAGTAGGATTGCCAGATGTTTGTGACAAGATTTGACAATGAAAATTTCTAATATAGACATCTTTCAGAATTTTTACAAAGGGCAAATCCTCATGTAACGGGTTAAGCTGTGAGAATGCAGAACGCAAAAGAATGTGAGAATGCAAACCATTCATTCTTGGATCCAAGTGATCAGCAGTGCTACATTCTTTGCATTCCTCCCCATATAAAAGCAATTTAAATAACCGCAAATTTACTGTATCCTAGTAGCATGATATACTATTATGTGCTCCTTGTTCTTCATGTTGAATTATTTCTCATACGTCATCAACCAAGTATCGGGCAAATCCCTTGGAGTATTCTCTCAAATGACTACTTTTGTATTGTACAGGTTATTTGTGAAATCCAAGCAATGTGCATACAAATGCAAACACAATCTTCTTGTTGTTTTCTTCTTGGGTCATCCTCTGACTTGTACCTAAATTGTAAAAGCTTTGGAAATGTTGGCATGAAATAAGAAATCTGTCACATATTTGCATGAACCGAGACTCTTTTGGTCATCCTAGCTGTGCAGAAAAGCCTTACAGTGGGCAAAATAACAGCCTTCTTGGCTTCCTGAGACTGTGTGAAGATTGGAACTAAGAGGACAGGATGAGAGGGAAGGAGGTGTCTGCATCAGGCATATTGCCAAAATACATTTTGGTTCTGTTATTCTTCCTTACATTACTTTTATTCCCTTATGGGGGGTGGAATTATAGCCATCATAAAATTGCCTCAACTTCTGTGGCAGGTACATGCAGCAAATCGGGATAGTAGAGCTACCCCCAACACACTAATAAGTAACTTCTCCTGGGAGCTGACTTGCTAATATTTCTCTCATCCTCTGTACTCACTGAAATTGATGCAGAATGGACAGGGATAAAATGCTGCCCAATAAACTCAGGAAGAATATAAATTATGATTGCTCTTTACTGTTTTGGCATTAGATGTGTTAATTTTTTTATTGTTTCTGCCTATAATTGATTTGCGTTTGTAACCCCCAACACATAAATAGGATGTGCTGCTTACAAGGATTAAAAAGAATAATTTTTAGACAGTAGAGAGTTTTAAGTCTCTTAGCATTATTGGGTGCTAAGGAAAACATTTATGCCATAATCACTTGATAAGCACACGCAAGTACAACTCTCTAAGTTCAGCAGTGGCTCTGATAGCTACTGAATGTCAGTAATTCAAAAATTGAAAAAAAAAAAAGAAAAAAAAAGCTCCAAGATTCTTCCAGCATTAGAAACCAAGTCTTTCCATGTATAATTTGATAATTGATTTTAGTGGTTTTTCTCCTGATGATATTAAAAAAGCAGAATACCTAAAACTCACTAGGATAGCACATAACAAAATGCAATGAAGAAAATAGAATAAAAATATTCAGAAAATATAACTTTTTTAAGGAGAAAGCAAATACAAAAATATACTGTATTCATATCAGATGACTTCAAGGCATTTTGCAAAGATGTTCCAACAGCATCAGAGAGATGGATAACACAAGTATGTAGGTACCCATAATTTTAAAAAGAAGTACTGTCTTTGCCTAGTTTTTTGGTGTGCAGTTTTAGAGGCCTGAAACTTGAGTTACAGACACTGAGTAGCTATAGCTTTGACATCAATGAGAATCATGTCCATGGCATTATGAATAGACATATAAAACTTTTCACTTGAAAAATCAGTATCCAAAAAACAAGGTCACTTTTGAAAACGTGTTTTCAAATCACAATGTGCCAGTGGACAACGGAAAAAAATGGAAATTTCATTTCTGACTTCCACTCTCCAGATATTACTGTTTGTTTATATATTTGAGAAACATGAACACAGCTGCCTGTGACAATACGCTGTCCTCTACATGTGTTTTTTTCTCAATTTCCTGCTTGTACATCAGTGGGCACAAATGCATGCCTAAAAGTAACTGAAAGTACATACCTTGTAGCTGAGATAACTCAGCAGCACAGTTTCAAAGAGACTTATTAAAGCCACAGAAACCTTAAGTGAAGTGATAAAATACATGTATTAATACTGGCTTCTAGAGAATACATGACATTAAGCATTACAATGAAAAGGAAAAGATAATAAAAAACAGCTTTTCCATGCATCCTCTGAAACCATCTCAGCCAACAGAATTTAGCTTGAAGCTTAAATATGGTTAATTTTCTGACTAAAGCACAGGCTGTGACTTGAGTCTCATTGCTCTTTTCCATGTATAATACTCCAGAGAGCCTGCAGGGTGGCCTTTCCAAGGTTTTTAGATTGCTCCATACACAGACTGCCAGATTGTTTCTCAAGTTTCAGTTGTCTGTTCCTAAAAGGTACCAAGATCTTTTCAAAAGACAGAGAAAGAGAGAGAAGGAGGAAGCTGTAAATAATGGAAGCTAGTCAGCTCTTCACTTTTCTGTAAGGATGTTATTAATGTGTGAAAACACACTTTTTTCACTGTGTATCATTCAGAAAGTCGAAAACAGCAAAAAACGATACAGATGAATCATTGTTGATTTTAATTTAAATACAATGAAGCTCAACTTATCAGCCTGCACTTAGATTATATGTAGTGTATGTATTATGTAATCTAAAAATATCCATCAAGGGATTTTTCCCTTAGTAAAATCATACATTACATAGAGGTACAAACCATCGTAATGGCATTGCACTAAACATGGTAAAAGAATATAGTGGTATAACCATTCGGGAAGCTTAAGGAATTCTTAGTGTGAAAACAAATTTCACAGGGAGAATTCTCACAACACTGTCGACAAGTAACAAAAAGTGTTCCTAAAATGAGCAGGCTCCAGGACACTGAGGACTGAACCACAAATTTCAAAAGATCTCCAAGACCTATAAGGCACTGATGTTGTGGATCTTTTGTGACATACTCCTCTAAATGTGTAGACTTCTATATGATGAAGTAACTTTAGCTTTCTAGTGCATTTAACAACAAAGCCAATGAAGCATGTCAAAAGCTAGTCATAAGCAATTTTGAAATTTAAACTCATCATTAGAGCAAACAGTGACTACTTGACTCAACAGAGCTTAAGAGAAAAAGCTATCTAATTCTACTATATTTTTTACAAGCTTTAATACTTTATAAATATATTGTAAAGCCATATAAATTCAAATCAGCTCGGATCAGCTTATTTTTACTTTATGCTTTTTTGGTACTTGGTCATCAGGTAGATTTCTTTGTTAATATCAACCTTTCCAAGTACCCTTTAACATCACTAAAATGCTATAAATCAGTATTGTCTACTGTTATTAAATGGAAATGGTTAAATTGGCCATTTACATATTACCTGTAATCCCCATAAAGGCAAGCTTCGATTCACCCAAATAATAGGAGACCTGTTCATTATAACAAGAAAATCAATATCAAATTAATCAAAATCTGGTTAGTGTTTTGAACAAAATCAAGAGGAAAAAAAACTGTTCATGTGAATGGAAAATAGAGTAGCCTTATTTTTAAAAAAAATTCTCAGTAGTAAAAATTTTACATCAATACTTATCTATTGATTATTGATATCACTTGTATTTCTAATCCAAAACCAATCCTTGAGTTCCTGTGGGAGTAATCCAACAGCCATTGACACCAAAATCTTTTATTGGCTTCAGTGGCTGCTAGTTCCTCCCCTCTGATTCCAGAAAGAACAAATCAATTTGCACTTTTGATTCTAGCGATGCAGAAGAATAATTATTAGTGGTAAGAAAAAGAAACTTGACAATTCTTTTGTGTGAACTTTTTACTATCTGTGTAACAATATAAATAGTATCTAACTCATAGGGGCTGTCATACCCTGGAAAAATCTCATGTTGTCTTAGTATTGACTAAACTCGATAATAGGCAGTTGATACAATAGTACCGGAATCTGGAGTACTCAATGGCACGATAGTTTACCGTTAGTCATTTACTGATAGTCATAACTGCTTTTTAAATAAGGGCATCCATTCTTTTTCAGCAAGGTATAAGCACTGATAGGATTCAGATCTTACAAGTGCATCCAATCCAGCAGTTCACTTATGCAATCAGAGAAATAATTAAAATATTAAAAGCAGTTTTGAATATTCAGGAACATGGAAGTAAGTGCTTGAGAGTTATGGAAACATCACTATTACATGTTAAAATGTCACCATTCCAGATGGAAATGGATTTGTCTTCCTGTTTCCCTCCCCTTCCCACCATTATGTGGACTTTTTGGTTTGCTTTTGTAAATTAGGGACTCACCAGTCAATCGTTCCAGGTGTGTAGTTTTGACTGGAACAACTCCGGTTTAATTCCTTACTGATAGTTGTCATCCCATCCATGCAAAGTCCATTTTCATTAGGAAATGTATATGGGAACATAATCATAAAAACATATGGGAGGAAAGAGATATTAATTATATTATTGTCTCCTATAAAATGCATGCAATAGCTTGAAACCTAGGCAACGGATATAGACATTTTAAAAAGGAAAATAACTTTTAGAAAGTAGTTCTGTATCTGTAGATAAAGGACTATGAAGCATTTCAGGTTACAATTTTTAAAGATTTATTTTCAAACATGTTCCAATTTAAAAACAAAACAACTGAAATCATACCTTCAAAAGATGAACTAAGTCAATAACTGAATAAATATTGAAGATCAAGACATGCTAGAAATCCTTTCACATGGATAGGCTGGGATAGAAAGAGCACATATACCTGCCATACACTCCACAGGAAAGACTGCATCACACTACACTTTACATCCTCATGTGAGGAGGGCTGGAGATTCATGCAGAGGTAATTCAAGTAAGAAAATGGTGACATCTATGTAAAAAAAATAGCTGCTTTGTACATGTGATGTTATCTTGCCTTAAACTGCTGGCCCAAATCCTTCCTTCAAATGGTCATGTAAGGACCTGGGAAATATATTTTTCTGTAAATGATGAAAAATATCCTTGTTTATCCTTGGCTAGCAAGGTCAGCGGAAAAGAAAATAATTTGCAGACCACAGATCAGTAATAGCTGTGTTTTTACCAACTCTGAGTGGGACAGGTCCTAAATGGCATCCACTAATAAGATGCTTTACATGTTAAGGTCTTCCCCATACACCCGCTGTGCCTGAAGGAGTAAATGACAAATACTAACTTGTGCAAGTGTTTCTGAAAAACAGGAAATAAATCTGCAGGGGGAGTCTGTGATGAAAAGCATTCCCCCCAGAACTGTCACTTTAAAAACAAGCAGGTGATAATGTTTTCTGTGGTACGCTCTCAGCACACTGAGTAGTTTCTCTCATCAGGCTGCCACACAGAATCTAGAAAGGATTTGTTTTCCTAACGCTGCATTGGTAAGAATGCTCTATGGCAGTACTTTAGGTATCAAGCCCTCAGGTTGCCATGGGCAAAACCACTGACATTAAAGGGGTGCCATCTGGGCACAGGGCTGGTTTGTCTGGCGTAGCTTCTAACACTGGGCATGTACAAGTGACTTATCTGAAACTTCTCAGCCAGACAAATGTTATGCAGAGAATGGAACAAACACATCAGGAAAAGCCTTGGGAATTAAGCACTCTGCAAGATGCAGAAAAATCTTTGCATGTGAATACAAAAGTATCAAAGTGCACCTGTGGCAGAAGTGCTAATGTTCTAATTTGTTCTGCATACCCAGACATAACCTTGCAGTATAGTACTCTCATTTGGGCTCACTAGCATTCTCATAACAAAACAGTATCAGCAGCTTCTTGATGCTAGAAAGTATCATTAGCTGTACAATTTCAAGTCCCTGAGTTGCTGTGCTACTACGCCTAAATTTCTAAGGATTGATTTTCTCTTCTCGATCCCTGTAAAGAGTTTTGTAAAATCCTTACTGCTTGTTTCTTCCCTGAATATTTCCTCTCCTTGAACAGACATTTTAAGATACACATGGAGTCAAAAAACAGCTTTTTGCAGTTCTCGCTTTTCCAGGGAGACTTTTTTTCTGGCCCTTTTTCAGATGTTCTAATTTCTTACAATGTATTTTGACCAAAAAAAATTCTCAAATGCATCTTCTGTACTTCCCATTCACACATCCTTCTCTCATGCACTGCTGAATAAAACCAATATTCTTAAACTCACTTTGGTTTGGATTTGATTCTTGCAAAATAGCGTTTCTCCTGTGCTTTTTTTGGAATATTACCCTTATTAGATCTAACTGGCTTTCAAATATTAAAATTAGAAGTCATACTTTGTTCTTCACCTAGCATTGCATGAAGAGTGCTAGTTCTGTGATCCCAAGCTTAGTATTTTCATCTGTGCTTTGTTTCTTTCAGTTTCTTTCTTTCTTTGATTCCAACGGAATCAAGCCAGGTGAAAGCAAGTAATAAAACGTGGTGCTTTATTAGCATTTAGAAGTGTGGAGATTCCAGGACACAAATACAACTGAAGTACAGGATTGAACAAATTATAAACAGAATTTATTCTATAATTGGTGGTTGCTTGTATAACATATGGGGCGACAGAAAACAGTACCCAATGACCCATATAGAATACCATACTGCCAATTGTAGGTGGGCAGAAGGCTAGAAAATTATCATCAATGTAATCTGCATGAAAGCTCAGTTTCATGTATTTGTCTGTTTGTTTCTGGGATGTGGTGTTTGAAGTAAAATTATTTACGTAAAATCCTAAAATTATTGTTGCATAAACTTGCAACCAGATATTTGCAATTTTATTTTTATAAATATAAATATGATACATGAAAATGTTATATAATAACACAAGCAAAAGATATATGTTTGGACAGTTATACCTGATGTACAATATCTGAGCAAATAGCCAGATTATTTTATCAGTAAAGTGAAAAAAGAATATTGTTATTTTGGTTCTATTTCAATTCACAGTGTAAAGCTAGCTTTATAATTCTTTCGAAATATCTATAAGACATAAAACCAAATCCCTGTTGACAAAATATCAAATGTTTACTAATTAATTTATAAGTTAAACAATGCTTTAAGAGCAGAAAAAAAAATCCAACCAAACAAAAAATCCCCCATTACCATCCAAGTCCTTGTGCAGGATCATCCAGGAGCACACGAACTATGTATAAGAAACAGCTTAGTAGCTTGAGAGAAAAATTGAATAATCGTATTCTCAGACCTAGTTTAAAAATGAAAGAAAATACAGAAATAAATTCAGGTTCTTTACAGTTTCATCCACTCTTAAGGTAAAACTATAAGGAACTATAATAGCCAGGCTGCAACAGAGCAAAGGTCGATCTAGCCAGTAACCTGTCCCTGATATGGGCAATTGGCCTATCGTACAGAAGAATGTCAGAATAAGCTTGTCAGACACACATGTAATACACCTTTCCAGTTTCCAGAAATCTCTGGGTTAAGACTCAGTCTGTTTTAATGGAAAGAACTACTCAGTCATTTGTTTGAAAGCTATTCTATGCCATTCATCTTTCCTGATGCCATTCTTTCTGCCTTTCTTGAAAGGGGAACCGGAACTACGTATGGTACTTGAGATGCAAGATACAGCAACATGAAGAAGACATACTTTCAACCATAGCCAGAGGATATACAATGGCAAGTATTTAAATATTAATGTTCATGCAGTAGCTTCTTATACAGAATACATTAATACTATCCCAACTTATAAAATATTAAACTGTAGTTATTTACTGTTGAAGTTGCATAATTATGTGTCCAAGAATCAGGACATCTGAAAGTCATGCTGAATGCACAACTGGACTAAATCAACAACTTGTTCCACAGACCACATGAATATTGAAACGTTCTAGCTGAAAGGATATTTCACAAATACTACCACAAACTATTACAGTATTTCTCACAAATACAGGTCTATGCACAAAGACAGGATTCCTTCAAAGGGATCCACATGGTCACTTGCTTCTATCACACGGGTAGTTTACTTACTGCTAATTGGAGCCATTATCTACTACAGTGGAACTGAACTGTATTTTAACCAGATTTTGCAGTCATTAGAGGACTAGAGTTTAAATTCTTACTCTTGTTATTAAATTCAAGTCTTAAAATTTTACTAATGTTAATATTTGGATCTAACACTTGGTTTTAACTTTCCGTTCACCAAGTTAAAACAAACTGTTGGTTGACTAAGGTTAAGTGGGGGGAGGTCACTGCTTACTACTTTTAACTGTGAAGTTGCAGTTATCCCATGAGAACTGGATGAATTTTTAGAGCATCTTGTCATCTGTAAACTAGGGGTTAAAATCCTGTGGTCCCAACCATGAGAAGTCCCACAGCTGTTATTGGTAATTAGGTTTGTGAACATTAACCAAGTG